AAAGGTAGTATACATGAAGTGAAGCTCAATAAGAGTTCTAAAAGCTGTAATTCAGAATACATATAAACACGCTGGGGGTGGTTTTCATTACTGAGATAAAATTTTCCTTTGTGACTTGTCCCTGGGTGACAGAAAGCAGATCCCTTCTTACGGTTCTTTAGCCTGAATGTTTTATAAAATCATCAAAAGCATAAGCAACATTGTTCTTGTTATTAACTACTGTGAATGAAAGCAATTGCAGACCCAACATCTCATTCCAAAAATCTTGCAGAAAGTGAATTATTCTTGACAGATCAACTCTTCAGGAAAATACCTGATAGGTGTAAGCAAACAAATGGAGAGACATTTTGTACAAAACCTGAAGCCACTGGGTTTTTTTTTAAATAGGATGTCACTATTGCTGTTTGTTTTGTGTAGAATATCTTTGGATGCTTCAGGGATAGGTGTCTGTATAAAACACTTACATTGAACTGCACGGGTTGGGGAAGGGCAGAAGGTTTTAGCCTATTTCATTAGTAGTCAGAAATGTTCATATGGCATCTCTAACTGTCCCTTTCAGCCAACAAGTTTATCTGACCCACATATGTACTGAGAAAGTTAATTCTAACTAATGCAATGGCTCATGCTGTAAGTCCTGGTAATCTTTTATTGACAATCTTTTACTGAACCAAATGTATAGTTGGAAGAGATGTTAGGCAAGGGTACAAAGTGCCCTTCTTCAGGTCCATAAAAATCAGAAGTCTCTAACTGAAGAGAGGGTGTTTTGTTTTTTAACTCTATTGCAATGATTTCTGAATGAATCGCTAATTTTGGGAGTGGAGAAAATCACTGATCACAGCATGGTAACTCCATTTTGCTTGCATTTCAGTCTTTGATCTGTTTTATGATCACTCCTTTAGCATTGGATACTGCACTTACTAAGGCATGATACATATAGGATAAAATCTTGGGCTGAAGTCAACAAAAAAACTCCCTCTGACTTCAGTAAGCTTAGGTTTTTATCTATACAAATACAATATTCAGGTATCTGCTTCAGGATAAGCCTTGATGTCTTTCTTAAACTTCTAAATATTTCTAAAAGTACTGCCTAATGATGAATGCTGGAAGCATCGCATCGTAGCAAGCAGTCCTTGCCATCAAATTAGCCTCCTGAGACTTCAGTGGGTTTCTCATTAGTAAGAATACTAAATGAAAGTAGTCTCCTCTGTAAGTAGTGTGTCAAAAAGCCAAGATTTCACTGCAGGAATGAAGCTCTTAAAATTGGAAAACTATTGGAAATGTCCCCTGGCTGAAACCTGATAACTATAAAAGCAGACATTAATTTTGTTTCTTTTCTGCCCACAGTTTTAGTGCCCTCCAACATAGCAATTTAATGATGAGTTTAATTCCAGGTAGGAGATGCCAATTTTTACAAAGTTCTCCTGCCATCACCTGGGTAACTGTTGCACATTTTGAGCACATGGTTTATAGCAGTATAGTGTGGTTGGTTTGTCTATCTAAAAAGAAGACATGCAACACCAGCTAACATAGCTCTGAGAATGGTCAAAGAATCCTTTGAGGTGGCTTATAGCTGCTATGCAGTGCAAAACAACTTCAGTTGGGTTAAAGATCTTCTTGTCTCACTTATGTCTTATATGCACAACATAGGTATTTAAGAGGATGTTGCATGTTCAAAGAAGATAAGGTTTCAGTCAAGCCTTCTGAAGGTAGAAATGCCAGAATTAAGGTTGTCTGCACATTCTTTAATTAAATGATCACATGTAATTCATTTCCAGAGAATACACCTCTTTCCTCATCCTTCTATAATCTTGTCAGATTATTTCACCCTTCTCTTCTGCATTGTTTCAGTATAGGGGAGATCTCCTTTGTTCTCAGTTCTTATGAACTGCATAGCAGTAGCCCCTGGAAGACGGACACAGCAATTTTAGATAAGGTCCATTCAGTCACTGCAGTCCTGGGCAGTTGGGATGGCATGTGTGCAGTCATGTGGTACTTAGGCAATGCTATGTAACGGAGCAGACTCAGTGCAAATAGTATCTTCATCAAATTCAGCTGCCAAATTCTGAAAAGTCTCTACTGAGCTTGTGGGGGTGAGATGGATAGCTGAGAATGTTAACTTATGGTAAAAGGAATCTCCCTTCCAGATTTCAGATTCCTTCTATAAAGCATATCCTTTGTCGGAATCTGATTGCCCATGTTAGTAATTCAGCTAAAATCTGTTTATTGAATCCAAAGGGTAATAGGAGTGGTATGGTTATATTAAATGAATGTCTTAAAGTACTGTAATAAAATACCAACTATATATATTAGATGACAATGTTACAATACTTATTAATGACTGTATAATTACAGTGGCAAGCACTTGATCAGAATAAGTAAGAGAGATTATAGCTGTCTCATGCTGGCTGGCTTTAGCAGATGAGGTTACTGTAGCAAAACGCCATCCTCCACACACACCCACAGCCCCCCCAACAAGCCCCATACCCCCCAGCCCTCCACACCTCTCTAATATACAATATACATTTTGAGCTATTATGTAATCACCTCTATATACACAATGCAAACACACACACAAATCAGGACAAAAATATCTTTTAAAAATAAAATTAAAATATGTTATTGTGAATGTTTGATTTTTAGTATATGATTTAATTTTTTTCTGGTTCCAAGATAGCAAACCCCCTTCCCAAAAGGACAAGGGGAGGGACTTCCAGTGGCAAAGGTCAGCGGTTTGGGGACGGGGTTGCCAGTCCCAAGATGGCAACCGCAAGCAGGGCATCTGTCAGGGGGCAGGGCTACTCTTGCAGCCTTTGAGAGCTCACCAAAACTCGCTAAGCGGCCCTTTAGCTGAAATAATTGCCTGCCCCAGTTTTATCCCTCTAGATTTCCCATTACCTCATTTCCTTCTAAGTTCCAGAAACTAATCATATTGGGCACTAAAAGAAGTGACATTTATCATGCAGTTGACCCCTTAAAAGTGCTCTACAGCTGTGTCATGGCAGAAGTGCACAGCTCCAGAGCACTTTAAAAGTGTCCCAGTGCAACAGATTAACCCTTATGTAATGAGGTTTCAGATGAAGGCACTCCAAAGCCGAGTATTTTCATTAAATTGTGTCTGAACGGGGCTGAGCTGATGTAGCCGAGGCTTGCCCCTGGTGCTGTCTGCAGATTGGAGGGGGAAAAGGGAGGGGAGAGAGCTCCAGGCTGGAGTTTTTTCAGCCTGTGCTGGGGCGTTGGGGTGGGGATTGGAGCCCCCCCTGAGGCAGGGGGCTCCAATCCACCATCCCCCCCACCCTCAGCCCAGGCTGGACAAACCCCAGACCAGAGCTCCCTCCCCTTGCTTCTCCCCCTTCCATCAGAGAGCACTGGAGTTAGGAAGGGGAAAGGTAGGGTTAGAGGGGAGAGGCTGTAGACATGCAGTTCCTCCTGGATCGGCTCCAGAATGGAGCTCAACCTCTCCCCTGCCCCCTCCCCCTCCCCCCCCCAACCAACAAATGTCTGTTGGGCCTGGGGGTGTGGGGGGGAGTTACAGCAGGGATCTGTGTATCTGTCAGTGCCCATCTAGACCCAAACTTCCCTACATAAGTGTCTTGTTGCCCCAGAACAGTGAAACCTCTTCTTACTTTTGCTGTCCTGTTTTGATGAGTTTCACCCACTTTGCTCCTACGTTAACATATGTATGGTTCATCATACTCCATCCTGACAACAGTTGTATCTTGACTGTCTGTACATTTGTCTGTCTCTCTCCATCTTTCTCTGAAATCATGGATTCCTGAAAGATTGTCATGTTTGTACCTGACACAGGCAGCTAGTAAGGAGGGCATGTGGGGGCATGTGCCCCCCCTGAGATTGGCCCCTGAAAGTGCTGGGGGGCCCATTGATACACCCCAATTTGGCACCGCTCAGGATGGAGCCAGGCGTGGAGCGGATTCCCGCTGGCCCGGTTGCATGGCTGGGGACCGCGCTCTATTTCTCTACCCAACCCAGCACTCTAGAGCCCGGAGTGTCAGAGAGCACTCTGGCCAACCAGAGCATTGCCCCGCCTCCCTCCTCCATGCAGCCCCTCCCTCCCCCTCCCTTCCTGTAAAGAGCATGCTCTGATCAACCAGCAGAGGTGCTGTTCCTGCTGCTGGGAGAAAGGTAAGCCTGGGGCTCTTGCAGGAGGAGGGGGAGGCTGGCACAGGGAGGGGCAGCCCAGGGGGGTGATGTGCCTCCCCCACTGCCCCCAGTGTGCTCTGCCTCCCCAGACTCGGGAAGCACCAGTCGCCCATGGTACCTGATGTAATAAAACATCCCATCATCTATTACATAAAGTATATTTCATCATTCCTATTAGTGTCTCATCAAAATAGGTGTGAGTGTATCTAGTAAGAGAAAGAAAATATTGTTCTGAGTAATAAGTAGCTCATTTCTGTTTAAATTTTTCAAAAAATTCTGACACAAATTCAAACCGTGGAACATTTAGGACAAAACAGTTTGTTCTGCAAGATATAGACAATTAAAAACAGGGTTTTATAATGGAAAGGGTTGGTCAATCTTTACTATAAGCATTGCTGCCTGAATTTTTTGTATTTTTTTCTTTTTAAATCACCCGGAATATAAAATGACTTTAAATAACTTACAAAGATTTTTTGTTTTGTTCTTGTTTTGTTTTGTTTTTTTACCACTTCAGCTGTTCTCAGCAGCAGGAAGGATTAGGGTGAAAAATATTTTCATGTTGTGAAATAGGAATTTTAGGCACCTTGAGGATAAAGCTATTGTGATCTAAGGCTACTTTATTCCTAAAGAACATGTCTGCAAGGGGAGAGGAGTTTAATATTTTTTAATTTATGTATATTGGTGTCACACCTGCAGTTGACTTATCTTGACTTTTCTGAGCGTCTCCCTGGAGACATGACCTCAGAGCTGTTGTGGTTTCCCTGGTGGGCTTTTTGCAGTTATTTTTTTAACTTTGTGATGTCTCTTTGCCTTTTCCTTACTCCCCACCCCTGAAATTGCAGAACTTAACCTGGAAGGGAATTACCTGCATCGCCTGCCAGAAGAGATCAAAACCCTGTTACATCTCAAAGCCATCAACTTGTCTAAAAACAAGTTTCGACACTTCCCTGAGCAACTTACTGCCTTGAAAACTCTGGAGACCATCAACCTTGAAGAAAATGAGATTTCAGGTAACAGATTCCAGCAGGAGAGTGTATAAGGATCAAATGCCTTTACATTAAACAACAATGAAGCCCTCAACATGTCATGGAGAGCACTTAATTTAGCACTAATCTTGTTTCTTGGGTTCAAAGCAGCATTCTGGTTTCTGTTAAGGGAGGTTGAAATCTATTCTAGCAGTTTGTCTCTGTTTTAAAAAAAAGTCACAATTCTCATTTTATTTCATCATAATTTTCTCCAGAGCAACTAACTCTGATGCCACATGCTAAGGAGTATGGGACATGTACAAAACAAGCATGCTACTTATTGAAATTAGTAATAGAGCTGTTCCTGCTTATGTTGTGTTTAAATTAAATGCAAGTATTCTAGATGTAAGCAGCACAAGAAAAAGAAAGCTTTAAAACAGATCTGGTTTAGCTGGAGAGAGGCTCATAAGAAAATACAAACACAACATTGCCACTCAAATGTGACTCCTTTAAAAGCTGAATAGCTCAACTGGCTGGAATGGCATGATTTCCATCACAATCTATATTACTGATAATGCAAGGGGATTATCAATATAATATTTTGTTTCACATTTGTTATGTGTACACAGCAGTCCTTCAGATACGGAAAACTAAAGACCATGAGCATTAAACAGATAATAGAGAGTAGCTGAAAATTTGATCTACCAGTTTCGTATTCTTTGTAGCACTGTCTCTCAGATTTTTTCCTACTGTGTCCCTATATTGCCAAAAAAAAAAAGTTACAGCCACAAATTAAGAAGGTTTTGCAAGCAAAGGACATGACAAGCTTTCAAAGTTATCCTTACTTACAATAGTGGTAAACCTTACTTATAATCAGGGATCTCAGTTTTCCGTTTGCTACGAAAAAATGTGGTAACACCCGGATTTTCTCATTTTAAGGAGCAAAACGTGGGAAACAGTGAGTTTTGCTTTGCAGGCAATTCCATCCTGCAAGGGGCTGCGGGGATCAGGAGGAGAGTGGTCAGGCAGGGGGTGCCATGTGCATGTGCCTGCACTTGGCTGCCAGGTAGTGTGGAGAGCAGCTCCCACAGGTAAGTCAGGGAAAGGGGATTGCAGCCCCCATAGGGAAGGAGGGAGGGAGTCGGACAGGGCTGGGGCTGGGGCTCAGCCCATGTGGTGCATGGGGCTTGGGGCCTGGGGCCAGAATGCTTGGCCACAGGGCCCAGGTGGGGAGTGGGACGGAGCCCCAGGTGAATCGTCTGGGGGCCCAAGTGGGTTGTCTGGGGGCAGCAGGGTGGCTGTGCATGCTCTAGGGGGGACATGGGGGGCACATGCCCCAAGATTTGTGCACAGACCAGGGATAGGCTGCCTGCTGTGGGTTCAGGCTCCTGCCCTGCTGCCCTCTCCCTGGGCCTCTGTGGCCCAGCAGGCAGGACCCAGCATGGCAGGGCAGAGTGGGACAGGGAACCTTGGTACCATCATTATAAGCCCCATGCTGCCATGCAGCCCCACTCCCTTCACACCCAGCAACACAGGCTGGCAGTACTGAGTTCTGCCCCTTGCTGCTGCTGGGCAGGCAGGGCTGCCTCACCAGGGGGTGCAGAGGGGGCCATGGGTTTGGAGTGAGGGGCACCAGCAGGGCTGGGGGTGCTGTGGATGGGTAGGTCACTGGCATATCAGGGCTGCTCAGTGCCACAAAACGGAGGGGCGGGGGAACAGCTGCAGCTGGACACACATTCTGGTGAGCAAAGAGGGTAGGGGGAGCTCTGATTTCCCATGATAAAAAACCCCCCCCAAATCAAATGCCAAAATTTACAGGTATTTATAATTTATTTTATTATAATGAATGAGGCACTGATAGGTTTCCAGATTGCTTTAAACCCCAACCTTTCACCTTTTTAGGTGAGGACCATGGACCAGCAGACTGCAGACCAGCAGTGACTGGCATACTTAGTATAAAAAAAGGCTGGCTGTCAGTTCGCAGTATGCCAGTTACTTCTAGTCTGCTGTTTGCTGGTCCGCAGTCACTTCCAGTCTGGCAGCCAGCCTGCATGCAGCCTGGCAGCCAACCCCTCACAGCCTGGCACCGGGCCACGTCCTGGGGGTTGGGAGCCCCTGCTTTAAATTAGAAATATATCACTAAAATATTGTGCTCAACTGATACATATACGTGGAAAAATGCTGATTTGTGACTTTTTTTTTTTTTAAATCAGAGAATTTGTGATTTAAACAGAGAAAACCAGGATCCCTACTTATAATAGTGGTTAAACCAGCTATCAAATTCATTTAAAATAAATCAACATTAGGGAATTATACTGTACAACATGTTTTGGAGTTTGATTTCCAGTGCTTTCAAGTGGCCGGGCAGAATTCTTTCTTCAAACTGGTTCTCCTGCTGGACGGTATTATTTTTTGGCACTTCTCTTACCTCTTTAGCCTGGCTGTTTTCCCTTTTCTACACAGTGGCTTTTCCCTCTACTTCCACCAACTCACTCAGTCCCTCTTCCCCTTTTTTTCTTGCTAGAACCTGTTTTATCTAACCAGCATTCTTCCAGAACTGTGCTATTGAAATTTTTAGGCTGATTTTTTTCAAAGCTATCCAAGATAACTAGACATTCAACCCCTCATTGTCATACAGGTCTCTTGAGGGGTCTGTGACATATAGCCTTAATGTTTTTCCTTACTTTTGGCTTTACCAGGATTTTGGAGGATTCACACTTTTCTTTTGGTACTAGAAGGGGAAACTGGGGCTTTGCTCTGTCTCTACGCCCTTTTAGTTAAAAAAGAGTTTTAATGGCCTCTGGAATAAGCCATCCCCATCCCTCCCTTGTCAGATAGACAGCTTCTATATGACTTGGTTGAGGAATAAAATGGGGAAGCTAATGGCTATATTAGTTCTACAGAGACTTCCCTCAACAAGGGATGTGTGGAGTGCATATTATCCTTTCCCTCTTTGGCTCTGAACAAGGTCTTTGGGAAGGAAAGATGAATTTTAAATTGCACAGTTCTTATATGTGAATTAGATTTTTAAGGTTGCTTGCCAGCCAGCTGGCAAATTAGATTCTTGTGCTGTTACACAAAGAGCTGTTAGAAGCACGTTTTGAAAAGGGTTCACTGGAGATGGTCTGGTTTTTTTTATTTATTTAATGAGAAAGAAGGAATATATTCCTGTCTTTTCTCCTTCCCCCAATTATACAAAGGCAAAAATAATTGCAGAATTTTTCCCTGGTTGCTTGTTTGGCCAGATTCAAAATGATAATGGTGCAGAGAGTTGTGAATGCCTTTAGGGTTATTCCTCATATTTCTCACCTTAGAAATTGCAAACACAGATTGGTATCAGGAGCTTCCATATGTGTACAATTACTTTGCTATAATAACTAAAGTAACTAAAGCCAGAGACTGCTCATTTTAAAGAAAACTGTGTATGGCCTTAGTAATACATTTGGCAGTATCAGATATAGTTTCAAAAAGAGAACCTGATGCATTGAAATACAATATCAACTCTGCTTTAGCATATTAGTCTGGTTTTTGTATTGTCATGTTTTAACTCCTAAACCTGAAGTTTTCTGCTACTTTGGTCAGATTGTGACCCTTTTTCCCTCTGGTGTGCATTAATCACAGGAAAGAGTAGTTCCATTGAAGTTCTCTGGACATCCATTTTTAACATCAGTTGTTGCTCATCAGTTGAGTAAGGGGCTCACAATCTAGCCCTGAATGTGCCAGATATCTTTGCAGGGCTATATGATCAGTGCAAATCAAGAATATTTATAAGGGTTATATTAATTTTCCATGCCTGTTTTCTTATGTTAGGCCCATATCCAGCAAATTTGTCACTGAGGTGAAAGGAACTGTCAGACACTAATTCCTCTAGTCAGCTCTCATAAGTTCTTTGGCTCTTTCTCCTTTCCTTCCTATGCTGCTTTCAGTAAGAGATCAAAAGGAAAAAAGTACTGCACTAAATATGAGGCTAACTTTTATATCAACATTTGGATTTTACCTCTTCAAAATTTTAGATTATCAAACAAAAAGAAAATACAAAGATACAGGTTTGAACCTGATTGTATTAGATGTTTTCCTTTCAAATTCTATCAGATAAAGGAAACCATTTTTCTGGAAGTGGAATGATCTGAAACCTTGTCTCTCATTGTTGAGCATGGCAGAGAGTTGGTACGCAGAGTAAGCACAAGCGAGTTCCAACAGGAGCCGTCATTAAAAATGGTTGAGGTGAAGCAGCTTACATCATTGGTGATGCTATTAGTTATTGTCCCATCCTGCAACATCACATACTACCCTTTCCTGGGCTACCATACAGCTCTCCTGCTGCCCCTTCTTTCCTGGCACTGGGCCTCTAAGTGGAGAAATTACCTTAAATCATAACATTGCATATAGGGAAAGTAGTGTAGTCTAAAAGAATGAAATCTAATTACAAGTCAGGGAGCCCTGCATTTTTGCTCCTGTTTTGCCACTCAGTCACTGTGCAGCCACTGCTCTGTCTCATCTGTAAAAGAGTGATATAACCCTTTACTGTATTGCAAAGTCAGTGTCATCAGGAAGCTGAGATTCTGTCATAGGAATGAACCTGCAAATTGTCCAGAAGCAATTAGTTGTGCACATCACCTGTGTAACAACGGCATGATCTTATCATTACCCTCTATGAAGAACTTGGGGCATTATGCTTCATTGTTTCTTGACTAAACAAAAGTGATCTTTATTGTATGCATAAATTGAGTTAATATGTTAGCAGGGTTTGTCAGGAAATGCACCCAGATGTGGTCGGGGAGAGTATGGATTCCATTAGTGACATCTACTGGTATGTGCTTCAAGGACAATAACAAGCAGAGGAACAATCCACTTCAAAGTGCACCTCTTCTCTTCTGAGCCATTGGAATCAGCTTAACTCAAAGAACATAGACAATGAAAGTACTTAGGCAGGATTTAGTAAGAGGTAGGCTCTGTGAAAGGACTAGAGATGGTTTAGATCTTAGATGAAACACCACTCCATCTAAGATGAAACACCACTCCACCAGTCGTGTTTCCAGGATAGG